GAGATTGTTGCTTTCAACTAACATATTAACATTTCTACCTATCAAGCACATGAATTGTTAATTGTGATGATTGTTTTTGTTCATTGTTCATTATAAATCAACATGATATAATCCATGTCTATCTTCAGTAACTTCTACAAAGCGTTACTAACATAAAATGGTTAATCGCTAAAAATATCACATCTTTTATGATCTAGGATAATATCATAATTTGAACACTTTGTCATTCAAATGGGCATGAATTCATGCAAATTTTTGCTACATCTAGACTTGTATCACATTCATACATGAGAATGAACACAAATATGAATGATATAAACAATCTTAGATCAAATTAAAAACTCAGAAGTCAATTCAAGTGTTTAGCTAAGTCATATTAGCTTCATACTAATTAAACTTTTGACTAAAGCCACCCCGACCGTATGCCTCTAGGTTCACGGTCAAGTCCCTTCATACGTACACCGTTTGGGTCCTACCGTTTTACACACCATTCATGTGTTGGGAGTAGATATTAGAAAGGTATGCACGTAGAGACCAAATAGTCATCGACATTTCAAACTTTCACCATGATTGCAATATATTCGGTACATGACTTGTGAGTTTAGCCATATCACATTTTCCCTTTTTAAATACCTTGGCATTTGATGATTTCCTCCACTTGGACTCATGTCTCTCTTCCTCGAACGCCTGATAGTTTCTTCTCTTCCGAATAGTGTTTCCAAATACTTCCCAAATCATATCGTTCTATTCATCATGACTCATGATGAATAGAACGATATGATTTATCTTTATTTAGCTATAGAGATGGCATGCCTCATGATTCATGAGGCATGCCATCTCTATAGCTTTGGTGTTTAATCCGAATTGATCAACTATTGTCCACATCAATGTTTGGCTCGTCTAATGCAACCCTTTGATTAAGTTGGGAATTATGTTACTCTTTCAAGGTCAATCATCACTTCCTACAAAAAGTATGTGCTATAATTGAGGACGGTAACCTAAAGTAGCCTCCCGCTTAAGTACACAGCCGTTTAATTACAAATTCTTTACTCAAAAAATAGGGATCACAGTTCTTTAGTCCAGCATGTCATGGAATTCGTACGTTTGGCGTTTGGCTTTTAAAGTTACAGTATAGATCTTACTTAAAAAAAGTTCAAACAAACATTCAAACTTTCTCATATCATCAAAATTTTCTTCGAGATTATTTTTTAATTTCAGAGCAGAGTAACTCATTCTCAATATCAACTTGCTTATAAAATGACTCAAATTCCTTAAATACAAGGGTGTTTCCTTAAACCTAATGTAAATCTTGAGAGTTAAGCAATTCATCAATTATCTTCAGCAATCTTCATTATCTCCAAAAACTCTTCAACGTCTTATAAAATTGCAGCTGCAAATACATAATTGTTTTCATTGTCGATTTGAACAAATTCTCCAAATGTTTAAAGTTGAGATAGTTTGTGCAACTTCGGTCACTAAATTTTTCATCTTGCTAATTGCTTCCTGAGCTTCTATGGTCATTAATTCAGCCTTTACAAATGCATTTTTATAAACCTTGGTGACAGGGATTGCCAAGCTTCTTTGACATAGCTTGGAGCATTGAGTTGGAATCCCCTAGGCAGCTCTAGTAGCACCGCCACCTATATCCCTCCCTGTTTAGTTTATATTTGCTCTGACAACTTTTTGATAGCTCCTTCACTAACATCCTAATCACGTGTTACAACACTTTTGCTAGAGCACTTTTACTAGGAGCATATGTCTTCCTAAGTTTCTCTATAAGATCGCATTCTTGGACTAGTTGAGGCGTTTTCAGTTCAATCTCTTTGACATTTCAACCGAACCAAACTATTAGGAAGTGATTCTTCTAACGTATTCACCAACCGAACAATCATTCCAGGTTCAAGTTGCGTACTTAGGCGGGACTCTACAGGACTGTTTTGTCCTGTGATTGAAGTAACACTTATCTGATGGCCAGTCACTGCAAAGATCTATCCCGAAATTTCCGTTAACAAAACTTTGACATTTCTCACTTTATATGAGAACTAAGAGATATTGTATGTCTGATACCTTCTTCATAGCATTCACATGTGTACTAATTTATTATTATTCAGAATACATATTGGATATTATATGATATAGTCAAAGTAAATAAAATAAACTTTGAGATACTTTGAGACTAACTTATGGTCCTACATTGTGACATATTATCTGTTGATGCGGAAGAAGCATATATAGACCCACTGGGTCAGGTCGATCGTACCACAAACCTTTCCAATTCAGACACCTTCACCTTTTGGTGCACTAAAATCTGATTCATCTCAAGTACGGGATCTTTGAGACTGGTGGTCTGGAGAGGGCCGCTGATGAAGCAACAAGCAACAGATCTGTAGTTACATTGCCAGATCCGAGCTACGGGCAGCTGATTCACCATTTGACTCCGTACTGCTTGAGCTATTCCTCGTCACTCCACGTTTGTTGATATAAATCTTCTATCTTCTTCTTTTATGAAAGAGATCCTTGCGTCTGGAATTAGAGAATGCGACACGAAACTGTCATGCTCAAATCAATCACTTAGTAGAGAATAAAATCAAGGATGCTCGAGATCAAATCTCTCACATATTACCATGTCCCACAAACGCCCTGACAGGCGGCAGTTCAAAGAACAGAAGGTTCTCAGTCATTCCTGGTGGCCCATATCAATTCAATGTCAGTTTCAAGGCGGTTGTCTCTACTTCGTGGGCACTGAGGGTAGGAATTTTATGCAGAAGAGAAATTTCAGACCTCTTGCTCTGCGTTTGAAAGCTCTACTTTGCAGCTCGGACGGTCCAGGATGTAGTCAAGGATGATAAACAGTCCCCTTAAGTGGAAACAATATCACAGTCTTTGATACTCTGGTGCTGCGAGAGGGTCACGAGGAAACAAAAACACAAGAACGGGAAAGTGCAGGGGATGCCAGGTGAGAACTAAAATGAGGTGCGGTGAGGTCATGAGTCCTAGCTTCCCTCTGAGATTGCATGTTCCACGAGAAAAGCTTGAGTATCTTTTGGAGCTGTAGGGAAGTTTGGAACTTGCATTCATCGTTTCACTCCGTTCAGAAGAAACATGAAGGGAATTCCTTCAGAGGACCAACCGAGCAGGCGAGTCAGACAGTCACTGCACTTACCAGTTGACGAATGTCAGCTTTGCCGTCGGATTCTCCGATGATGTTCCGTTGAGAGGTCATGCATTGGGTTGTCATGGTTTATATTCCCGAGGAAACTATTCTTACTCTATGTGAGACGCTACAAGTCTATTGCGCATACATCTCAGATCTCCAATAGCACCTTTCTTGTTCCCGCGAGAGGTGAATATTTTATCAATTTCCATATTAAATGCTTCCCTCCAACTTGACATGAACTGAATTCTCAGAGCTTTCGCCTTGCAGTCCGTTTTGCATGATTGTGAATGCCTTTCGTTCCTCTCTAGGCTAGCTTGTTTATGTGCAGTAATCCCACTTCAAGACATGAGAAAATAATTATCATTCTTTAATGCCCTACTGACAAGTTAAGCAAACGAAATCAGAACAGCACAGAGAAAGTACTGTACTGTCCTTCGGACAAGAGTTATTTTCTGGTTCTCACACTGATTAGTCATGACACCAGTCTTCCTCGATGTTCACGAATTTGACCAGTGATTCTATGAATCGCGAACTCATTCCAAGGCCGACTTCGAGAACGGTGAACCAACGTTTTGATTTAGAAAAGCTCATTAGAATGTTCGATTCAAATCCAGTGGAGCAGAAAGAGAGAAGATTAGCGAATGAAATCAGATAGTGGGATGATAATTTGTTATATTCAGTGGTATTTTCGGTCTTCTTCGATGTAGCTCTGCCTCAAAATAGGCATCAACTGTGGACCTTCACTGACACGCAGAGGGATAGTTAAACTACTCTATTTCCCATGCTTCAAAGGCTTAGCGCCTTCGAATGCAGTGCTTTGTTGGTGGCACTGCATCAAGTTCGAGCTTGTTTTCGCTTACAAGCCACGTCTGGGGAAACATGAGGAAAAAAATTTATTCACGACTGAGGGTTCCATTCGTCCAGAAGCTCAGATGATGACATCTGTCCTTGAGTACAAAAGGTCATATTTCTCTGGTTCTGTCATCTGCTCTCTGATTGAAGTGGATTTCACAATGTAAACTTTGGAATCTGCTACACAGGTTCAAGAAGACGAGGTTGATAAACGGGGAGAGCGATCGGTTCGATTCCGAACTGAAGTGACTTTTCAGAAAAGTTTTTGAGAAAAGAGATGTCGGAGGAAGCTCGGAGGCACTGGAATCTACCATCACGTCTGCTGTAGACATGGCTGCAGCTGCTGCTTACAGGCTTAGCCTCTTCTTTGCATCTGTCTCAATAACCTGACATGTACAGGCTGACAGGTTTGTCTACTCTTGAAGTACGATTTCTAGAGAGTCATCATGAAACAGCCACGACCACCATAACGATACCGGGAAAGCAACGAATCAACACTAGACACTTCCAGCTCTAGCATCAGCTTTTTCGTTCTCACCTGAACGAACTAGGGCAACGAGGGAGATGTACAAGGCCCTCGAGCGGGCACGCAAGCATAAAGTAATTGTGGAAGCTTATGAAAAGTTCGTGTACACATTTAGTGGAGGTATCAATCAAGCATATATTGAGAGAGGCTGGTTCCAGGAATATTGACGCTCGACCGAGTGATTAAATGATCGCAGACGCTCCATACATAGAGGAAAGAAGAGCTGGTTCCGCCGGTAAATTGGCTCTAGCAACATATAGTCGAAAAGACACAGAAACGTCATCAGGGGCCCATGGTTCATTCCGTTCTAACGTTGCTTGCCACACAACTCAATTATGGGAATGATGATCATTCGATCATCAGCATACGGTACCAAAAGTAGACTCGAGAATGCTTTCGTTTTACAGCTTTCTCGCAGAGTACACTGCATGCAACACCTGCATGCTACTGCACATAATTAACTTCGGGAATCAGATATTTTACCACCACATTGATACGAAATTCCGCAGTAGACGCCTTAGTGTAAGGAGGCGTCAATTCCTAACGACCTACAATTGACTTCAAGTAATATTTGTAGTTGAGGGGATGGATGCATGGGCAATACGGCAACCACTCGCTTACTCGAGTATTCCAGTCCACGTCGCGATGATGACGAAATTCAGGTTTGGAGGCTTCAGATGTTTAACTGGAAAAAAAACGAGACGAAATCCTGGTCCAGGCCAGTAGCAGTAGATCCCAATGGCCACGTGATTCAAAGCATGTCCACTCATCAAGCACATAATGCAGATTTTTCGGACCTGCTACTGTACAAGGTCATGCTTTAGATGCTTCTTCGACCGTTTTGGTTTGATATCGTCCTTTGATGGAGGGGAGACAGGTAATCTTACACAACATATATTGCAAAGCCTCGTACTGAGATGCTTCTCAAGCAGCATTCTTGACACGTCAATCTTATATGAAGCCCCGTACAGAGCTGCCAAATAATGGTCGCAGTTTCGATATAATACTGATACTAGTGCAAGACTGGCTCTCATGAACTGGAATAATCCATAATTTATTCGATCGCAGTTTCCATAGAATACTGATACTAGTGCAAGACTGGCTCTCATTAACTGGAATAATCCATAATTAATTCTGAGGTACGCTCATCAGTGGCCTGGACTGACGATTAGTAGCAATGCATTCACATCCGGTTGGAGAGACTCATATTCCCAAGAAGGAATTGCCCCCATCTGTAAAACAGCGAACGACATGTCAGTGACAGGACACTCAGATCGCCAGCTCTCAGGATCGCAACGTTGTGATCTCCATAAACGTCCTCCATCTCAACACAACCTGGTCCTCGACGTTGGCTTCACAGAGAGCACATCCCAGCGCTCACTTACAGCTAGAGGAGCTCGTCACTGACACCTACCGGTGTCAGCTCTGCGTAAACGTAGAAGCTGCGGCCTGATTCTCCCCTCCTCACTCACACTCTATCGTGCACAACGAAATGACTCGTAAGACGAGCAGCCTCTAATCTTTCGAACATTTCCAGGCCTCCTTACCGTCGGTCCTCACCGACCGAGAATCAGATAATCCATGGGCACCCACACCGCGTCGGTTTCATCGGGTTCCACGCGAATTTTAGGAGCACACCAATCCATCTGGTACATCCTTGCTCGAAGCTCATCCCCAGCGCGCGAGGCGAGCCTACAATCACCAACCAGAGCACAATCTGAACACGCCCTCGAGGAGACGAGCCTGAATGCATTGGTTGAATCCACTCGTAAAATACATGCAGACCTGGCATATCCGTGAAACACAAACATCGACGCTCGGCCTGCTCGCCATCGCTGGATCGGAATCGCGGACGGAAGAAGCGCGAGGAAGGGGCAGAATTCGTGGTATTTACAAGGGGCGGGAAAGGACTCAGAGGACGACGTCGAGGCGCGGCTCGAGGAGGAACTCGGACTCGTCGACAGACCGGAAGCAGTCGAAGGAGGACGAGGCCCAGGAGCCCTGGAGCATGTCGCAGACGACCACGACGCGACCGCGGAAGCAGGCGAAGTGGCCCTCGACGTGGACCTTGAAGCGCACGCCACGGCGCGGGACGTGGAGCTGCAGCAGCAGGTGGTCGGGCATGACGAAGGCCTCGTGCCACTTGGTCATGCTCGGCCCCAGCCTCCAGATGCGCACGGCGGCCGCGCGGCCGCCCGTCTTGGTCTCGCCCACCAGCATCAGGCGGCCGCCGTGCTCGAACATATGCACGTTCGACAGCGTCTGGATGCAGATCCGCGCCGGCACCTCGTCCCATCGCGACGGCAGCACCAGGAAGAGCCGGTAAATCCAGCCGTCCTCGGAGTTCATGACCGTGAGGATGTAGAGCTGGCCGTTGACGAACACGGCGCTCCGCAGGCCGCGGTAGTCGTCGCACTGGCGCTGCATGCAGTGGACCATGTCCCAGCGGTCGGCGCGCGAGTCGTAGACGAAGATCTCCTCCTGCGCCGGGGCGCCGGGGCAGTTGACGAGCTCGCTGTGCACGACGATGATTTTGTGACTGCGCGAGCTCCGGTCCGCGACCATGCCCAGGCTGTAGCACAGCGACGGGTCCTTGAGCAAGGGCAGGGGCGGGATGTCGCGCCGCGTCCCGTTCAGCGGGTTGACGAGGAAGCTTAGGCGGCCCAACGGCTGCGAGTGGTGCGCCATGAGCAGCAGCCCGGCCGTGGCCGCCTCCAGGCGGAATTGCGGGTCCGTGGACAGCAGCCCGGCCAGCGGCAGGCTCCGGGTCATGCTCCAGTTGCGCAGCGTGTAGGAGGCGTCGCGCGATCGGCAGATCCAGCACGGCCGCCGGCCGCCCACCGGCGGCTCCGAGCGCCGCAAGAACTCGCAGTCCGCCAGCAGCGTCCTCCAGGCGCGGCTCACCGACCTCAGCTGCATGTTGCTCCACCACGGCAGCCGCGCCAGAATCCGCTGCACCAGCTCCTCCGGCAAGTGCCGCCAGAGCTCCGGATCCATCGCCGCCTCCCTCCGTGCGAAGCGTCGATCGCAGCTTCGACTCCGTTGCGCGGGCGAGTGAGCGAGCTTCTGAGGGCGAGATGTCGATGGCCGGGAGAGGCTGCTGGTGTTGCTGGTGTTGAGGCGTCACAGGCTCGATTGGAGACTAGCGCCATTCTCTCCGGAGGAGCAGCGAGCGTTGCTGTTGTCGGGCGGGCATTTGAGCTCTATCTAGAGAGAGAGTGTGTGTGATGATTCGAGCAGGGGCCTCCTCTTCCTCGATAGCTCCTCCGCCTGCGCTCGAGCTCTCTCTGCATGCAACATTGGCAACGGCGGGCGGCGGCGGCAATGTCACGGACGTCCGTTATTTGCTCGCATCATTCGCGTATTATTCAGACACACTAGCGCGAGATCCGAAAATGCGTTATGATTCTCGCTCGTGGCCCAGCACTAGCAGCATGCAACATGCAAGAATACTAAGATTGCTCGAAATGGGTTGCCCACATTTCGTTTAACTCTCTTCTCTCGTCTCCCTTCTACCTCCCCTTTCAGAGCTCGGCAATGTACTATCAGCGAGCGTGGTTGCTCATGACATTGCGTGCTGCGACTGCTCACTCTTCTCGTCCGAGAATTGAGCCGCAGTTTCCTGGAAATTTGGAGTCGACAGAGCAAGAAAGACAGGCGAAAGATGGAAGTGCCCACATGAAAAAGACAGGAAACCCATTCTTACAAAAGGACATCAAGAAAATCACGTCGCCAGCCTAACGATGACCCAACAAAAATCATGCACGTTCGTTTCCTGGCCAACAAATCCCGCTCGACCCGGTGCTGCCTTTCAAATGCGCATAATTATTTCATATATCCGGAGCTGCCCGCCTCCTCAAAGAAAGAAGAGAGACAGGGACAGAGACTTATGGCAGGGTGTAGCCGGGCCATGAGAGCAGAAAGTTGTGGCAAGAAAGACTGATCGCTGGACGCATACACAGCCAGATCCACTCGTACAGGAGGGAGAGACGAGCACGACGATGGCTTTTGGGCTGAAGAAGGCTCAAGAGGGAAAGGGAGGGGGAGGACGAGAGAGTGAGGCAGGGAGGGAGGGAATGCTTATGCATAGGACGGGCATTGCTGATACTCAGTGTCAATGATGACCAGGTGGAGGCCTGCCCGCGCCGACAAGTGGGAGAGGGCTGGCTTGCGAGATAGTGTCGTGGGACCTGGCGGGACTTGCCGATGGACCACACCTACGCCAGTGGGTCCGAGGCATGTAGGCAGCCGACGTAAGACTGTTCCTGCTGCGGCTGCTGTATCTAGAGTGCCTCGGTAATCTTTTTGCTGGCTTTCTTTCCCGTCTCTTCGTCTTTCTCCAGATCAGATTGTGGCTCCGGACGGAACAGAATATACGGCACGCGCCTCGTTTCATGCAGCTGGCGCTGTGACGTATTTGCACACGCGTTGGTCTTGAATAAGATCTGTTGTGGAAAGAAAATTCAGTCTGTCAAGGCCCTCCCCAATGGCTGTCTGGATGAGCTCGCTGGATGGATCAATGCCTGATGGATCGCGGGCTGGCTGGCGGGTTGTAAAACGAGCTAATCCATTACCGAATACTACCCATGCTAAGCTGGTCGGAGCTCAAAGAGATACCAGGAGGAACAAATATGGTGAAGACGACCTTCACCTTTCGATGCATGAGAGAAAAGGAATGAACATGATGGGGTGTATCAATGAGCTTAAGCTCACGTGAAACAGTGTCGGTGAGTTAAGGCACTCGGGCGTGCTTTCTTTTCTACCCACCTCACCTCCCCTCACCTCAGACTGCATTGACTGTCATTGCTCTCTGTGTTCGGTGCAACTCTCAGCGACAGTCCTGAGGTTCACTATGGCTTCCTTTGCAGCCTTGCTTAGTATTTCTTATTCCAATTTCTTTTTACCCAGGTTGGCATCCAGCATATCGAAATCTGCGAGCCGGATCGGATCTAGGTAAATGTTGGAAAGTATTTCCGAGTAGAGCAAGCTACTCGAAGTCCAAGCATACATTGGAAAGCTTGGACCAAACCTGTTAAAACGAGATCGAGCTCATGGTCGTTATACGGATGAAGCCAGTCAACATGGAGGCAAGGGTGATCACTTGACAAGTTCCGAACAATCCTTTGAAAGATCAATCTATCAAACAGAATGTCTGCACTGCGCCCAAGAAGGACAGGAAGACGCAGATCTACCACGTCGACAGAGGAGCCACTTGAATTGGCCAGCTCGTATTTTTGTCAACTGGAGAATGAAATCAACAGTAGGAATCTCGATGGCCACAGCCTGGTTTATATTTGATGCAGTAAGTGCCCTGGATACACCGGGCACTTCTGAAGCCCAACACTGCTTTCGAAAAATCACCGTCCTTCCATCAGTCAACCTCACCCTGTGAGTCAGCTTCTTCATGGATTCGTTAGCTATCAGAGCTCCAGTAGAGGTAGGTAGACAACAAAGCATTACTGGCAGTATTTCACCTCATCACTTCTGTATTATGATATTCTCTAGACTCAGGAATGCCATCAGAGTCTAGTAATCTCTTTCTCAGATTGGAAAGTGACGAATTTTTGTTCTTTTGTTCCAGTTACAATATGTTGTTTGTTTCCCAAGGCCTACTCTCGAAAAGAACACCCAAGTCTCTAAACATGGAGGGGACCTTGTGGCACTGCGCATGTCACAGGTAGAGACAAGTCCGAATTTCTTCCTCGACCAGTGAGACAGCCAGATGCCATGATAACTGAAGAACAACCTACTTCTAGCCTGACAGGACTTTAGGTAATGGAATCAGGTAATCTGTCACTCACACGCGGTCAGGAGTCGGTCAGTAACATGACGTTAATATTCAAAATGACAAGTTTTGCAAACTTCTCAATGAAAAGAGAAAGGATGGATGGAAGGAAAGACGAAATTTAGATTTCTGGTCCACATTTCCCATTTGGAACAGAAGGAAGGTCCTTTGTTGGTTATGGTATTCATTACGTTAACTGATATCAATATGTTCAACGACTTTTTTAGTACCACCATTTCCTGCAATGCCATGCCATAACAAGCACAACAGTATCACGCAGATCTTATCTCAACAACGACAACAACAACATGATCATCTGCTGCTGCACGCTACAGGACCATGCTAACTTCGAAGCATGCCAATGACTCGTGACAAGAAACAATCAACTCTTATTTTAGACTCTCCAAACTTATTGGAGAGTCCTGTTGGCAAACATGACCATTAACACGGAAGCAATTACAACCTTTCCTTCCTGTTGCTAGTTTGAGACTAGCGCACACATCTGAGGAATCTTAGTACAAAAGTCTTAGTACAGAACCAGATACCAATAAGTATAGCACTGAATACTTACTCATTATCTCGCTCTTCATCAGTCTTCTACATTTAACTTTTATCCCGAATACAGTAGTGTTTGGGATAATCCGGTCGAATATAATATCACGTAGATTCTGATTCACATCACGTGATTGACATCGAAGAAGATAGTGAGGGTTTAATGATTAAACCAGTGAGGAAGTGATTAAACTCTAATCACTCCCTCGTTGGAAGGATTCGCACCTGAGTAACAAATTACTACTGTATTGGAATTGGTGGTACTCAGCTGGATCTGGCTTCCTTCTGACAAGAGTCCAGAAACTCTTAATTATCTGGCCCGTCGACCTGGATAACAGAATGTATTAGACTCTTGGGAAGGAAATCGAATGCCCCGTCCGGCTCAAGTTCATGGATTTAAGCGATGACTGAATACCTGATCTGACAGGGAAGGCCCAAAAGATCCAGCTTTCCAGACCAGAAAACACTCAACAATGGACAAGTTGCATAGGGAAAATGTGTATTATAAAGAGGGAAATTTATTGGGGGCCGGCCGTGGCACGCCTGAAACATGAAACGGAGATCATAATAATTGCAATGGAATCTTCTGCACCCTTCCATCCACCGATATGTTCACAATCATTGAGTTTGCGTCCACAACTGTGTCCGCCATGTCCACTGGCCAAACCACTGCTGACCTGCTCCACATCAACAACTTTGTCTGATCCGGTGATCTGCTGAAAATAGAAAATCTGTGTCTGAACCACTTCTCCAAAATATTAGTTTTCCCTCACTCAGTGCTTCTCCAGACACAGATCTTCCATCCTTTAATCTGCACTCTTGTCGACAGTGCTTTGCGATGCGAGATGAATGCACCTGAAATGGAATGTAGCGTCATGATGCACTGAAACCGGCGGCTCAGACCATTCATTTCGTTTTTGGGGTGTGGTGAAGGAAGCACAGTCACACACTTCGTTTCAGATCCAACCCTTTTCGTGTTCGAACGAAGATTCATGAACTAAGTTTATTAAATTCACTGACGTGTTACCACTAGCAAGAGGACCAATCGTTAAGAGTTCAGCAATCAGTGAAACAGATCTTGATAACGGTGGCATTGAGATTGTCAATCCCACGGTTATAATAATCCACTTTCCAACTGGGGTAATAGTACATGAGCCAAAGTTCATTGACTGAGCATGTTCCATGTCTCTTGTAATCATCTGACAGCGCGGAATTTGAACAAATTTTCATTACTATTGGTGTTTCCAACCTCTTGTATACTGCAGGTCATGACTGATCTGCTAAACTACTCAAGATAATAATATATATAATGACTTACTGATGAGATATGAAAGATGCATGAAACAAATGATCATTGATTGCAACGTGATTCTCGCGATATCCATAGTTCAACATATTCAATATGAGTATCGTGTCAATTATATTAACGCTACAAGCGCTCACCGATGATAAGTTAATCATTGTGTACAATTTTTTTGGAATATTACGTTACAATGTGGTATTACTCATGTAATATAACAAGATGATCTTGAAGAATATTTCAACAAAGAAAATATCCCCGAACACGAGAAGTAAACAATCAGTTGCATAAGATTTAATTATAGCGCTGGTGGCACTCCTCTCATGCATATATAGCAATAAATTTACATTCATATATATTTAAATTTCTTTTTTTATTGAATACTACAATTGAGTTGATGCCATGATAATATGAATCAAATATAATCTAAATATTGATATAAGTATGAAATTTATGTTTGAAAATAAAATTTTAAAAAATATCAATGATTGAAAATAAATAATAAATATTTTTTTAATGTGTTTTTTCAATGTTTAATAATTTGGATCTTGAAAAAACATTTCAGAGATTTATTATTAGAGATTCTGATATTCATTCATCATCCACTCTCTTGGTTTAACTTTTCATTCAAAGACTTCGCCGATTCACATTCCATTTTTCAAAAATCAAATATTATCATAACTATGTAGAAGTTATGTAATATTTCTACATCCAACCATACTTTAATTATGGATTATACTTTTTAAAAAAATGATGTTTTGTATCAATATTCAATAAAATATTTCAAAATCTACAATATAATGACTTCCCCAAAGACTAGAAAAATGAATCATTCATGTTGATTAATTTTATGAAACTGTGAATTGTACATGAAATTCATTCTACTTTGATGTTCACATGATAAAGTTTTGAGTTATTCTTAAATGAATTGTCAAGTCTTGCACCGTTATTGATCACATTATAACACATTAGAAACAATAGCAAGATAATTCATGAAATGATTTTATGTGATGCAATAAAATTGTGAAACCTAGATACTTGTATATTATTCGAAATATTATTTCTATATATAGTTATTAATTAATCGTAATTTTCAGAATAAAACATCATTTATATAAATTAATTTACAAATATTTACAGTAAATTTACGATTTAGGGTTCAATAAATTCTAAATCTCTATTGACATAACTGTAATTTACGTACTTGTAAGAATTCTTTAATATTGTGGATATAAATATATCTAAAATTTTAAATAATAAACTTCATTAATTTTAAGACATAAATTCACTCATTTCGAAAAAATAATTTATAGAAAAATACATCATTCAAAGAGAATAATGAAGATAACTTCAGATTTCAAATGAAAGAAATCTGAACTTAAATTGAATAATATTACAAGAATTTTGTTGGTAAGAATTGGAAATCCACGGACATAAGAAGAGAAACTTAAACATCCAGTCCATCAGTACAAGATGAAAATGTTAATCAATATCTACATACTAAAAATATCATAACGAAAAATATGTAATACATTAATATATACGAATTATCTATTTCAAGCAATTTTAAAACCACGAAAAACTCTTGAACATGATTTCTACTCAGTATAGAGCACTAGTCCTATAGTCTTTATAGAGTAAAAACGTCATGTTATCTTACTTGAAAAAAATCACTTAAATTGATACCATGCGGTGTAAGTTATTCATGCACTTTCTAACCTGCGCTAAATGCTAATCACCAAATAAATCCTATGTTGGAGAAATATAATCTACATATCTACATACTCTTTCATCTAAGAACTCGGTTTTCTCTATACATATTCGACTCGCGTTCCATCCAAAACTATAAATAGTCAACTCTTTTAGTTTTTCAAGAATGGATGTGATAACCATACATTTGCGATTTAAGTTTGATACTTCCAAACCATGTATAGCACTAGCCACATGCAAATTATACAGTTGGAAATATAGTATCATGATTATGAGTTTATTACCGCGAAATGATTCTTATGTCTGATAGCTTGGACAAATACTTCCTCTGTTGAACAATCACGTGCCGTTCGACTGACCACAGTCTAATTGACAGTCTTCATGACTCACTTTTCACACCACTATCTAGACTAGTTCACCCTACATCCTGATTCTCAGCCTGCTTGTTCCCGATTTCTCAAGTTACTTAAATCTGACGAAACACGAGTTACAGGACATAGTAGAACTTGACTCCTAACGACATACACTCAATCTAATCTCAACACAATAGCCACGCTGGTGGAGACATCTGAAAGGTATGTTCACACGGCTTCATTAAACTGCCAGAACTGTTGGTCCATTGACGAAGACGACGCTTCCAATGAGCTACACTCTTACTCGGCTTCTACCTCGTCAACAACAATATGTAGTGTTTCCACCTCATCGTGCCCAGTTGAACTCTAGTCCCCAAGGGATCATGTCGGGCTTCATTTGCTCAATTAAGAAGCGTATTGAAATTCCTTCCAAGCTTCACTCTGATCAAGAAGACTGATTGGACAAGCATAATGACCCAGTCACTGAGGCCAACCTCACCATCCGATACAAGATATCGGATCCACTAAGTAAAGTGAAGTTAATACTGTATCGGAATTCGGATGGAAATTGAAGAAATCGTATAACTAGGGTAAAAGCTTGAAGACGGCTCCTTTGTCAAGTCAAACTAGCTACTCTTTCTTCTTTCTTCTGTTACGCTGAGAGAGGGGAAATATCACTTCTGCTAGATTCGCAAGCATTCCTCGGTTGTATATATTGTCCCTCTTAAATGCTGATGGCGCTGGTTTCGGTGGAGTCTTTGGATGCCGACGGAATAAAAAGCTAAACAAGCCACACTTACGACTTACTTTCTCCCCAGATTCAGGTCTGTCCGCAGCTGCTTTTCTACTTTCGTCCAAAATCTTCTTCCATGCCACATCAGCTTGCCACCTTTGAAAAGCATCCCATTTGTAAGTCTGCAAATCCAAGTAAACATTTCTTTAAGATGCATTACATGCCAATGACTATCAGAAATGACAAGAACTAGTAAACAGTTTCACAACATGCATTTACCCGACTCAACGTTTAGCATGTTTAGCCCTATACTACAGTTTGTGTGACAAGACCAGGCACTTGTGGGGCACTATATGCCACACATTAATAGGGAGAAGCAGAACACCAAAAGACGAGAATCGAACCTCGTTGGTGGTCGTGTTAACTACGACCAGATAAATGTGGTACAATGCAAACCCCGCCAACAGAATAGATACCACTAGAAGGAAGACCATCATGAGGACTTGCGTGGAGTAGAATGTCAAGAGCCACTGCACAGGAAAAGATGTGCTCAATACATTATACGGCTTGACGCTGATCTTGAAATCCTATAGGCCTCCACAGTCGTACAAATCGGAAAATAAACCACCGCTTGGATGGGGAACCGCGATCCACTCTCAACAATCAATAGATCCGTCGCGTATCTATGCCAGCTATCTGATCAAAAGCTACAGTTCCTAACCGTAAAGGTTAGAAACTGAAAAGGCTGATAAACTGAAAAGTATAAGCTTCTCTTGACAATGATGTTCAGGACAATCACATGACTTGCAAAAGACTGCCAAGATACATGAGAATCTATGATATACCCAAGAGAATGGAGTTCCCGCTATGATTCGTGCATGATACCTGAAGGACATGAGGATAAACTTCACGAAGTGTACTCGGGCTCCCATAGTAATCTGGAATGTAGAAGAAGATACCGACGGTAAGTAGTCTTCCGTGGCTAGTCAATGAGAGATCCCATCTTCAAATCTGTAGATGCACCATGTATAATGGAAATCCGCTTACTGTACATGTTAAATAAACTTCATTCCATTCTCTAATGCTACAACCGCAAACTACCTGATTAACCGACGATCTGCATGCGTGATAATTTCAGACAGACAGGTACGCGGCACTGTCATAAAAGGTTCATTCTTCAGAGGTACAGGGTTTCTCTGTTTCTTACAACTTATTGCGCGTACAACATTCCGGCCTTCAACTTCTCCGAGAAGAATTGCTCCAAGCAATACTGCTCCGTACCAACACAGAATAACATGCCTGAAGCAAAACATGAAACGAGATAACTGATATTATCAGCTGGAGATATAGCACAAGTTTAATGTAGATTTCATCCTGTTGTACCCCAAGTTTTATTGATTTCATTCATCAGCAGTATAATTGACTTAAACGGACTCAGCTGTCGTGTATGTAGAGTAAGGCAAAGGGGTAATTAACGCTCTGATTTTTGACGGCACCAATAGGACCAATTTTGTCTGAAGTCTTCACATGATTCGATTCACACTGCTACAAAGCACACTGGCAGGTTTGCGCACCAACGGATCTGTCTGCATGCATATGGCAAGAACAAAACACTCCAAAAACACGAAAACCTACCAGATGAGAAATGACAGAAAGTAGCGAAGGTTCTTCTCACCGATGCAGTTGTTCTGTTGAGAGCACCATTTGTTTGTTAGAGATGAGTTTCCGACGCAACTGCCTACTCTTTTCACAAACTTGGGCCTCCTGAGTATATGGCAAGTTTCAGCTGGAGGAACAGTGTCTATCTACGTCTTCTAGCACACACTGGACTACCCAAACAAATTGGCAGCAAGGGACCTTTCAACGGAAGGCAGTCTTGGCTGCCCGTAGTTGCAGGATTCGCGAAGAACTGACCATCCAGCCACAGTGATGGTCAAAGCGGGCAACACATCGATCACAGATGCTACAGTGCTTCGATCGTGCGGGTCTGCATTCATCACCGAAGAAAAAGTTAAATTAATCATAACTCCAAAGCAAGAAGTAAAATAAATCATCGGCGGTTATGAGAGGCAAATCAAATCGATCAGAACAACATCAATGCCTCCAAACTTCAAGAGAGTTGAAAAACAACACATAGACAACTATGGTTAATTGTGAAAGCTGAAAGAATATCAATACACAGCTTGTACACGATTGTTCGGGGTTCTCACCGGGATACATTGCAGGTTGAACAATCCTTCTTTTCTCCATAGATAACGCCATCGTATGGAAAAGAGGATATGTGTTTTTGTAAGGTTGTAGAGTTGATGACTCCAGGATCAGTGAAACTAGTCAACAAAAAGAGCAGAAGTCCAACAAGAACGGCAGCTTGGCCAGCATATCTGTAAGCATCCAACAAGTTCCAAAGAAATCTTCAAATCAGGAAAAGAACTTGCTCCTCAGATGTAGTATGCAATATGTGTTTTAGATGTTACGTTAAGATGAACACTGGATTAAAATGGTATGGGACAAACAACTGCTACACACTATGGAACTAATTCATAACAAACTCCTATTTTATTCAGAGACAAGGCACCTTATCGGGTGTGACAGGGAAGCTCGATGAAAAGTATGCAGAGGACATAGCTGGAAACCTCAAAGCTTTAGTTTAAGAAACATCAAAATTTTCACAAGCTTGACAATCGTCCGTCGGTATGATACTTACTTGTGCCATTCTGATACATAAATTCCAGGAATGTATTGGAGCGAGGTAGATGCGATTGCAAAGTAGCTGCCACCAAGGATTGAAAGATAGAAGAGCTGCAAGAGAGACGAGATGTCCAAAATGGTGAGTTGCAAATCCAATTGCATTTCAGGTTCTGCTATGAGAGTGCTCAAGAAGCCCAGGTGCAGCCCATACAAATGAGCTTAAAACTCATCCTACTGTAGAAGAATTTGATCCGCATTTTCTTCCCAGAAGATCCATCACAACGTTTTGCTAAGGTCTTCATTATACGTTTTTCGTGGCGGCATCTTATTAGAAGGAAAAATAAAATGACACCGGGAAATAGAATTATGAGAGGTCGGATGCAACCTGGAACCGTAACTCGTTTCTGGAAATTAAGAGGCATGCATAGATCGTCATCTGCTGTTTAGACCACTTCCGATAGGCTTGCCGTCGTACCTGAAATATTGGGATGGGTCTGTCGCAAAAGTATTGCTCCACAGAACTACATGTTCTTCAGGTACCATCACAACGTTGTGAAACAGCTTCAGGTATTTTTAATACGTCTTCCATGAAGGGGTGTATATCTTAGAAAGCATACAGTGGTCCCGGGTATGAGAATGATGAGAAATCTGATGCAACTGGAATCTAGACTCGTTTTCAGAAAATTAAGGGGCATGCGTAGATAGTCATTTGCGTGTTCAGACCACTCCACTAAACTTTCAGGCGTACCTGCAAAATTGGGTTGGGTCTGTCGCAGAGGTATTGCTCCACAGAACTACAGGTTCTCGAACCTATCTCACCGAACAACTTAAAGATCAAATACCTGCAGAGAAAAAGATCTTGAAATAATCAAGTGACTGAAGCCACAATCTGTGTATTGCAAACATCATTTCTACACTCAGTGCATAGCTACATAAACGCAATCTATCCGAATAGTCACTTTGATGCGCTGCTATTTTCCCCAATCCTCACAAGCATGCAGACACCATCAAGTTTATGTCTAGCTCTAGTACGTGTACATACTACGATGTACGAAAATGTGCAACCCAAGAACAATGAGGAGTTATAACGGCTAAAAGAGGATATGGAACACTGGATAAGCTGAATTCACAGTGCAATTGAAGAATCTCACGTACGCAAACTTAAGTTTATTCCAGCAACATTCCTGACTCATATTACATGCAGAAGATAGATTATGTCCGTCACTTTGGTGTCACTCCTGATTTAAGTTTTATGACATAGGTTCCCAAGTTCAGCCTTCCAGGAAGGGAGATCCCTAAATTTCCAGGAATTATGATCCCCAGACTTAAGGTCACCGCTTTCACGCAATAAACTTCTAGGTGTGCTTTACGAGTCAAAACCTTCGTTCAACGTTGTTCCTTAGGAGCTGCGGAATGTACTTTGACGGGTACTTGAACAAGATGCTCTTTGGAAAAAAGCTTACAACAATATTTGTTCACTTTGCTGCAACACTTCACAATCTAAGAAACCTAGTTGGAGTTCTGTAAAAAGCTATGACAATTCAAAAGATAAAGTGATGGGTTTCACAATTGGATGATGTCTCACAACTGAGTGCTATCTTGACTTGGTTAAGGTCAAGGAATCTAGAATATTTGGTCCCACAGTCCAAAGAGCAGAGCAAAAGAGAACTTTGTAAAACAATCTAATAAGATTTTTTTACAAAAATACTTCGATACATGCAATCAGTAGGAGTTTCAGGGCTAATGGCACGAAAGAACCTCGTTCACCAAGACTTTAATCCACCTGAAGTTCATGTGCCCATGCACAATTTCAAACTCTAATTCGTATCCACGGAGGCTTAGTAACTCCTGATCACAACAACCTCCCTCCTACACTCGTTCACACCCTTATTCTGGACCTTCTAAAATTCCGTCTTTCGTTCTGTTACAGTCGACAATCGGGCTGAGGATCGCTTTCAGAAAAACATCCACGAAAATCACTCTTCGTCCTTATGGTGCGTACCTCACAGAAGATGAAGGGTAAACCATTAACTTCATTCTAACTGAAAAAAAGGTTACACTCAGTGGCGCGGCACTCAGTGGTTTGATTAATAGTCGGCTGGAGGCACAACAACCGAGGAGAGTGTGCCAATTCATTTCGAGCTAATCCTCGCATCACTCTGATCACAGCATGTTTAGACGAGACCGATTTCAAATTTGCACGATCGGATTTGCAGGATTCTAGTGGGCGAGTCGAATCAAACAATCTGGAAATCGATTGTGCACATCGCCCACAAGTTCGTGTAGCAAAGGATTACCCAAACAATAAAATACAAACGAACGATGACACAGAGACCAATTTCACGGGTGAGTAAGAAAAGTCTAGCGATCTTACTGCAAAGATTCACAGCAGCCTCCGGCGAAGATGAAGTGATGAGTCCTCTCCAAGCACGTTCCCTCGAAAGAGGGCCGATCGCCACATAGGAGCACGAAGAGCAGGAACGGCAGAAGGCCCGCATAACCAATCAGTAGCCACTGCCCTGTCATCGCCAACGAAACGCCCACGAGATCGGACCGAAAATTCTCCTCCTACTGCTCCTATTGCTGCTGATCCTTCTTCAGCTTCGAGCTTCCACTCCTCATCGACAGCCTCCCCTCCCCTCCCCCGAGAAACCGCCAATTCCTCCCAAAAACCTCTGCACCTCCGAAATCATATTCTGCTCGGACGCAATGGATCACAGCATCTCGGCCTATTCCGGCGGCCTCGAAGCTCCAGGTCCGCACGGCACGGCATGGCATGGCATAGCAAGGCGCGGTCGGAGCGCTCTCCTTTCCTTCATTTGCACTTCCTTCCTCCTCCGCCGTTTCTTTCTGCGGCGAGCCTCGTTCGTGTTCTTTGACGGAAGTCGTTCGCTCCGTCCGATGCGGAAGTTCAAGAGGATATTCGTGCGTCGTCGATGGGCGTATCTGACGGTGCAAGATGGTTCTTCCGATCGGACGTTTTCGTGTCGGATCATTCTTTATTCCCGCGGGCCGTGTTCGCTCGGTCGGTGATGCCGGCCGGGAAAGGGAGGTGCGAGTTCAGGAGCCGGATTATGTTCTTCTTGGAGAGAAGTGTAACGGTGGGTGGCGGGCTGATGACCTCCAGCGCTGGGCTCCGTATGATTGATTCCTGCTGCTGACTCTGCTCCCAGTTTGCAGGAGGAGTGCTGCTGCGGCTGCTGCTGACTTCCGTAGGCGTTTGTTTCTGAGTGAACTAGTTTCGCATACTTGCTCCTACTCCGAATCTCTTGTCTGCCCATCCGCAATGGAGGATGTGAGTTTTTTTTCCTTGTTCTTTGTCCCTGTATCCTTCTCTGCTTTGCTCCACGGCAGACCTGCATGAATTTGCGTGAATTTACTTGAATTTGAGTGGGAGAGTGAGTGATTCTTCTTGGGCCTACTGCATATCGTTCATTCCCGCGTTCCTCATATTTCACGACAAAAGTCAGAGAAATTCAAATGCACATCTGTAGTGTATCTTGGCGATCATAGTAGCACCCCGATATGGCTTTATATTTTGGAGAGAAACCTGATCGTGAAAGTGATGTCGACGAAACCATGTGATTTCCAATGCAGGAGGAGGATGTCTTTGCGGAGAAGATTATTGGCTTAACGTACTATGAATGTGTTGGGCTGAACAGCAAAAAGGAGATGCTGTTGGCCATCGCCAGAGGCGAAAATGTCGATCAGCAAGACCCAACTACAGGAGACACTGGATTGTATGTGCTACGTATCTATCACTGTATAATCGCTAGATTTACTACCACCCCAGGAGCTCACGGTTGTTAAAGCTTGAAATCTGAGGGTAGACTTATTCCCTCCTCACAAACCCACAACCCTGCGGACCCTTTCGAAGAGGCCTGTTTCCCTGGACATTGGATGAGGAACATCTTACATCAGTTTTATCGATGGAAAGAAGAACCTCATTTAATAACCAAATTTTTTAGCTTTACTCCATAATTGCTCTGATACGTGCTGAAACCATACAGACCTTCAGTAACAATACAGTACCCAACGAGGTGCCCTGTTCTCAATACTCCGAAACATTGCAGAGGGGAGTGCCGAACTTTTTTGACAATTACAGTCTGAGTGGGGCAGGATTGCAGCACTCAAGACGGGCAATCGGGAGTTTGTTACGATGATTTTGGAAAAGAATCCGGATGTGAAGATCCAGAACCTAGCTGGTGATTCTGCCCTTCACTGGGCTGTAATGTTCTTGTCCCTCAGTGAAGCTTTCCTACTTTCAACCACACATAACTTATCTCCGAAGTCTGTTAGCTAGATGGTCGTAATAAAAAAGACACATCTCAATTACCGAATACTCAAATTCCTGAACATTAATTTCCTCTGTTTTTGTATGTTTAACTGAGACACATCTTAGAAATCTGTGGAAAGCGGCTTTTCACATCACTTTTGCATGGTATGATATCGAAGAAATTTTCATCTTGACTACATACTTCTCAAGGCGGTCGTCGTTACTGTAAAAATAGAATATGAGTTAGCTCGTAGGTGAACTAAAATTCCTAATAGCACCTCTTTACACTTTTACCTGAAAATCAACTACACTTAGTAGTTGAATACGAAAAGCTCGCTTCTCTTCTATCTGGAACTCTTTTTCTTTGTTGCACGGGAGTATTGGTCTTTAGTTGATTTAGGTTGTATTTGTTAGTGTTTACCTGTCTTAAGGTAGGATATATTTCTTCTCTTGTTGTGCTCTACGCGTTGATGATATGTTTGTTTTGTGCAGTGTTTAAAAGGTTTTGCAGATGTAGCAGCTCACCTACTCAAATTGGGTGCAGACAAGGATTTGAAAGGGGAGTATGGAAATACTCCTCTGCACTTGGCTTGCAGTTCAAGCAGTGTTGACTGCGTCAATCTTCTGCTCATCGTATGACCCCCCGGAGATTATCAGTATAGCCTGAAGGTTTTGAAAGATGAGTGGAAGTAGGTAGTCGGTTAAAATTCAGGAGAAAATTCTTGTTTTGAGTTCAATATAGGGTTTCACAGTGCGAATGAAATAAAAACGATATCGAAAAGCAAAACAAGGGTGATAATATCTATGCATAATGTTATGAAGTGCTTCCATCAGGAACATATCCGGATGGCTTTTGTGTTTCTGCCAGAGCCTCATGGATTTGCCCTCTGTGAACTTGTGAAGGCTAGGAGGGGGCTTCTGTGAAAGTCTTAAATGAGTTTGGCAATACTTCTCTACAAATGGCCGCAGACATAAATATCAAGAAAAAGGTCAGGAAACATGGATACTTACATCTCTATTGCAGATAGTCAAAATTTGTAACCATCTTTTGTATGTTAGCCAGCATATAAGTAGAGTAGATCAAATGTGAAGATATTTGGAATCTACATTGGCCTTGTCGTATGGTGTCCAAAATAATGACTTTGGTGAAAAGGTTTTGATGATTGAGCCGAGATTTAGAAAAGTGTCCTCTATGATGTGGTGTCAAAATGTACTGAGTTACTATTGTTACAGCTTAAAGCTATTGCAGAGACTGGTGAGATAGCAAAGAAAGCTTTAGAAGCCGAAGAAGCTGCTAAAAGAAGAGCACAGTTGGAAGCTGCAGAAGCTGCACGGCTTGCTCAAGAGGTATATTCTTATGTAGTCAATAATGCCACATGTTGATCGATCTTATGTACTCACTTCTACCGCGAAGTTGTTGGTTGCATATATACCAAATTTTTAGAATGTGTTATTAAGATGGTATGGTTTATTCTTGCAGGAGATCGAAAGAAAGAAGAAAGAGGAAGAGGCAACTATCAAAGCCAGGCGAGATGCGGTTGCTGCGGAAGAGGCATTCTCCCAACTTCTAAACCAGCTATGTTACCACATTAGGATGTTGACACTGATTTCGGTCGAGAGTTATAAGTTTCTTATCATATGAATTTTGAGTATTGAAAAAGAACTCTTATGTGGCTGTTAGTCCCTTTCACAGAATGTTTCACTTTGCAAACCGAGTCTTCTAAATGCATGTCTCTTTTGATCTGATATTGTCTCATGGTAGTTAAAGGTGTGTTTCTGCAAATGGTCATTGTTTCAATACTGGTTGCAATCTAGTTCATGGCAATTATGAAATTATACTCAAAAAAACTCATTTTAGATTGGTGCGCTGCATGTGATGAGAAGTTTTATGTAAAACTACGTGGTATGTTTCTGTTGGATCTGGACACGCCTTCACGTGTGCAGTATCACGAAGTGTAAGTGAAGGGATGAGGGTGTAATCTCCAAAAGTTTCCAATCATTCCTTGGTTGCGGATTTTAATTCATACAAGGTTATTGAAATGTCACGGCTATGTTCTTTGATATTGTGAGGCATTCATCTCATCTTCTTTCGTATTTTGTTCTAATCATTTGGAAGATGAATCTGGCCTTGGACCGTCTCGTCAAGTTCTACATGTAGAGAGACATGATGGTAAGGCCAACCGACAGGTTCTCTTAAGATTGGTGCACCCCGTTAATCATCACCTGAACTCAAAACCAAGGGGACTCATAGTACGGTCTTTCACTCGGTTGAAGGATTGCATAGGCTCACACCTTGGGATATTGGGAAGCGAGAGGGAAAAAATTATTGAGTTGGTTTTTCTCCAACGTGTTTTCTTGTGAAGCACTTGCAAACATTTTGGACACGAAATATTCCTGTCTTAAAGGACAGAATCTTCTATAACAACTTATGCCTATATTTACACTTTTGCATCGAGTCGTTGTAGTATAGTGGTAAGTATTCCCGCCTGTCACGCGGGTGACCCGGGTTCGATCCCCGGCAGCGGCGTATGTCAGACATCTGACCCTTTTGACCATCGATCATTTTGCCAGAGCATGTAATTAAATTGTGAGCACTGATGTGAGGATCTGCTTGCTGAAACCAATCACAAGGGTGTACAGAATTTAGCAAGGGTACACTGTATCTATTGGGTGACAGCCTGTGATAAATTGTGTGAAAGTTTTCAGGATCATTCAGGATAAGTTTTTGTCTCATCATGGATAACTTTATCTCAAGGCTATCTATCTGTGTTTCAAACGCTCATTTCCTATAAAAAAACACGAGGATTCAAGGATCATGAATCTGATTGTCTTAAAGATACCTTGAATATAGTAATACAGAACCAGTGCGTACGGGTTTTCTGGTCTTCATGGGACTTCGTACATGTTTTCCTTAAGTTCAAATTATAGATTTTTGAGGACTAATTCTCAAAATTCTATACATTGAACATTTTGGAGATTCTGATCTGGAGATTTTTCGCTGTGGTAAATGTAGAGACAACTCTTCCGGGATCAGGATAGTAGAAATCCAAACTTTTGAAATACTTGTAGTTTGAACCTGGGCAATGCGTGTCTTTACATGTGTGCGCTTTTTGCTTCTCTTGAGATGCCAAACCGTGTTCTCTCTAAGAAGTCATCTTGAAACTGATAGAAATCATGTCTTGCAGAAAAGAATTGAGGAGGAAGATGCCATTGCTGAAGCAGCTCGTCTTGCGGAACTTGAAAGACTGGTAGAGTATAAAAATACCTGTATGAATTTTGCAGTGAGAACATGATGTGACTATCAGATGACAGATGTGAAAGGTCCAGTTTCCACCCAGGTTTATTAAGATTTTGTGAAGTACGGTATTGCTGCGATTCAATCGATGCATTTACAATGTGTAGGAACAAGAAAGGCAAGAGGCAGAGAGAATTGCCATCGAGGAGAAGAAAAGGTTGAAGAAAGAAGCCAAAAAGAAGAAAAAGGCTGCCAAAGACGCCAAGAAAGGCGGAGGGAAAAAAGCGGGGAAAAAGAAGTGAAGAATCATCATAAAATTGTTTCATCAAACGCTCTCCAGCCTATTCACTATCAAAATTTCATTTCTCAAATTTAATGATCAACTATTGTAATACTGACCACTTATCTTATTGTAGTTTCTAGATTACCAAATCTTTGGGGCGGTTTGTGCATGAGTACACCTAATCTTGAGAACAATGATTTCATTCTCCCCATGCATTCCGATCTTTGTGAGCTAAGTATGCCTTTGGTACTACTTGGACAATGTTTTAATTTGTAATTTCAGAGAATGCTGACTTTCGTCAGCTCTTTTCAAAGTTAAAGCTAATTGAAATCAAAACTTTCTGAAAGACTTATCGGGCCCAGAACTTAATTATTATATAGCTGCAATCTAACCGTGTACACCAAAGGCATGATAATGTTTGGATCGAATTTCCATATCATATACATAGCATGCGTCTAATGTCGTTACATTCCGTCTTTGAACCATCGTGATACTTGAGAATACATTGGGATTTTAATAGCTTGACAATTATCAACTTTGAACTATGTCAGATTTGTACTATGTTATATCGTTTAGGACCAGCAAAGATTGCCGATATGAAGTATATGTACTTTGTGAATTATTAGTTTACCTAAAGGAGATGTGAATGTCCTGATCACCGATAAAGTGAAGGAACCCTAAAGGTTCACAACTTTCACATGTCACTTGTTCTAATGCAATATAAATATCCATGAAAAGATTAAAAATAGACTCTACAAATATACAGATGTCGGTATGAGAGGTTAAAAAAAAAAAAAATTTATATTGAATACTGTAGAATTAGCTTTTAAAAGACAGTACTCTTTTCTGCACTGGCATACAAAAGATAAGAATTTCTAGATCAGTTAGTAGCATACATTACATGCTTAGTGCCATCATGGGCGGCTATTTTTTGATCTCCAAATGAAGAACAATTCCAGTGTATCATATTTTCATTCAAGGTTTTTGTACTAAGTGTGCTAGTGTGGAAGATGAAGAACTTGAAATTGAATATCATTGCTTTAGAATATCTAGCTACTGCGTTTATAAAAGTCTTGATGCTTAGATGCAATTTTAAATAACAACATCGTCAATTAATTTCAATTTCCTTCTCACAAGGAATGTCCGACTTCCAAAAAGAATAATTAGTGTAGAACGTGTTGAAATTGTAGTTGTTTGTTCTCGTCGATAAACAAAGAATTATAGCACATGTATGGTAATATTTTAAGTCATAACGTACGTGGTAACGTTATGTTGTATGCAAATATATATGATCATTCTAGTTGAATGTGCAATTCGTGTTGATTACATTGTAATCGATGTCAAATCCAACGATTCAATTACATTGAGTAGCAAAGATATCAGGGGGAAGTTAATATGTGCATTATTAGAGTAAAGAAAATTTCAGAAAAAATTATTATAATTATTATAATTCAGAATATCTGATATCAATTCTTGTACCTATTTATCACACATAGTAAAGCTATTTTAGTTTAGATACAATTATAAGTGATATGCTCATAAAGTGCATGTTAATTTACAGGTTTCAATTATAAGATATTTTTTATGATAAATTAAATGATGCAAAATATATTAGAATTGAAATTTGAAAAAATCCCTTAAAGATGGTTTTTGTGCATGGCCTGATAAAAATATTTTTAATAAAAATTGATGCAAAGTTTAATATTTTTTTTAATATTTTTTTCCCAAATAAAAAATCTATATTTCTAATAAAAAAGTGTACTCTTACTATACTCTTCACGTTATTGGGTTTAATAACTAGCTATCATTTCTAAAGAAATTTTTTTTCCAGATTTTTTGCGGCAGATTGTTTCGAATGGAAAACAAATGTGTAGTCGGCCAGACCAGGTGCTCGAGTCCCCAAAGAGTGGAAGGAAGGTATGACTGGAAGGTGGTATGGAGTTCTGTCCTTCCCTTTGAACCCTCACAAACAAGATAATAAAATGTGGAGTTTTGTCTTGGATTGAACGGAAGTTACTAATTTAAAAAGAACAGCCGCTCAGCTGCCGAGGAACCCCCAGACAGACGTATCGACGGAAACCAACCGGTATCCGGTCAGCAAACCCGCGTACTAGCCGTTCAACACGGCTTAGGGCTCTTGACTCCGACAAACAAACAACCCCACGAATCAAAGCTTCGCGTCTCGTTCCTTCGCGGTTCCCCGCTCTTTCGATCGTGGCATTGGTAGAGTAGGGACGACACTTCGCCTGTTTGCCAAGGCACATTCCTCAGCCCGCATGAATCCCGCACCCGCACTCTGCTTGGTGTTCGTAGATTCCCAATTGATGTAGTCTGGGGGTTGACGGGTTTTGTCATTTCGGACGAGTCCGCTCTGCCCGCGTTTCAGTTTCTGGATACTCTGAGGTCTCTGGGCGTGAGTCGGTTTTGTCCTCGTACAGCTATTGGAGTCTAATCAGAACACAACAGCCACCAGATCTATTGTACTGATCTTCGGAGGTTTTTTTTCGTGGGGAAAGCTCGAAAGGTAAGGGTGGAGTGCCGGCGAAGATTTTACGCAGCTGTTGACAGTTTTTCTTGCATGGAATTGTCTTTCTCTCCCGCCGTTCCCGTGAATCAATCTAGATTCGACAAATTTGGGACTGGGGCACGTATTGGCATTGGGTTGTGTGGGTGTGTGTTCGTTCGTGCGCGCTTGTTTTTCGAGTCCTATGTCGGGAGCTTAATGATAAGGTTGATCTTTCGGCTGAATCACTTATTGATTTTCAGGAGAAATGGGAGGGGGTAGCCAGGAGAAGCTCTTGGACCAGATCTTTCAGTTGAAGTACACGGCAAAGAGCTTGGTACGGCAGGCGAAGAAATGTGAGAAAGAAGAAAAAGCCGAGAAGCTGAAGGTGAAGAAAGCAATCGAGAAAGGGAATATGGATGGCGCTCGTATCTACGCTCAAAATGCGATTCGAAAGCACAATGAACAACTGAATTATCTGCGACTGTCGTCTCGACTGGACGCGGTTGTGGCTCGGCTTGGAACGCAGAGTAAAATGCAAACGATCAGCAAGTCGATGGGAAGTATTGTGAAAGCTTTGGATAGCGCACTGGCAGTTGGCAATATGCAGAAGATTTCTCAGACCATGGACCAATTTGAGAAGACCTTCGTGAACATGGAGGTCCAGTCAGAGTTTGTGGAGACCGCTATGGCTGGAAGTACCAGTCTCTCGACGCCTGAGGACGAGGTCAATTCTCTCATGACGCAGGTCGCCGATGATTATGGACTGGAGGTTTCTGTTGGTCTACCACAGGCAGCTTCGCACTCCGTCCCTTTCAAGGACACAGCTTCGGTTGCTTCAGAGGATGATTTGAGTCGCAGATTGGCTGAGCTAAAGAGCAGGGGCTGAGGAAACTCGAAGATGCTTTAGGAACTGTCCTCTTTGCAGAAACCTCCACGTGAAACTTTCTATCATCCAAATATACCCTCCTTATCCTGGTATAGGTGAGCCAACTTGGTCAAGGTTATTACGTCCATAGTTACTGGCCTAGCCTCTGGGTGCAATCATAAGACAGCGCGGGTTTGTGATTCAAATTTCTGTATTGTCTTCGTGTACATACTAGTGCCACATTTTCCACGCGAAAGGAGTTCTGGTGCGACCTTTAGACGAAGCTGCCACTTTCTAGAAAATCCTTGGGGACTCCTGCTTGCTCGAAGTAGGGCGAATGTGTGATCATAAGTGTCGTGCTTCTCATCTTGTAATTTCTCGATATTGTAGAGCAGGGATAGTCATCACCACTCTCTGTTAGTTTATAACGGAAAGTTATATAATAGTTAAGCTTTTGGATAAATTGTACTCCTTTTGGTCATTATTTCCTAGGCCTTCCTCCTTCTAGCGGACTGTGCTGTGTAAGTATTATTCTGTTAAATTGTGCTGAGGAACTCGATTGAAAATTGTGAATTGAAGGCTTGCTGCATTCATTGTCATTGTGGTGTATGTTTACCGTTGAATTGTTGTTTTATGTTATTGGAGACAGCTGGACTCCCTTGGGACTTCGAGAGCTTGCTCTATGGCATCTCTATTTTCAACATGAGCTTGATGCTTTTGCAACTTGTCTCTGTCCTCTGAAGGGATCAGTAGTTGCCCGTCGTTAAGAATGGTAAATTTATGTTCATATTGTGTGTTGGTACAACTGCTCTTTCGCCCCTGAGCTCGTGCTTCCATAGCCAGACCTCAAGAGAAAATGCCCTAGTCATCCCTTTTTACCAAAGCATTAGTGGACGAGCTTAGTGCAGCAGATGTGATATAAGTGTGCGGAATCTTTCCTTTACATGCCATATGGACCGTCATGTATCCACGGTGTCGGCTAATGTATCATCCAATCTACGCCATGAAACAGTTAAATTGTTGCAGAACGTACATTTTAGCGTCAAGAGAAAGTTGAACCCTTAGCCTGGCGTGGTAGACGAAGGACCGTCAGCAGCTGAAGAAGTAACCGTTTGCGGCGGCCCCTGCTTGCGTGGGACGAATTTCAGAGTATTATCTCGGTGTCTTACATGCTTCTGAGGATTACAAGAAGTAAAAGTCATCGTTTGCCAGCGAAAAGAGGCTTCGGAAATGAAAGAGTTTATGAATCTGACTCCTGACCAGTATGGGAAGTTCAGATCACAACAGGGTGGTGGGCTTGTGACTTGCCCACCTTCGGCATACTCTGCACTACCATGGGTAGATTCAAACGTATTCGTGATGGTTCTGAAGTTCGTATTTTCTGTAAACGTCTCTTTTTGTGTAGTCTAGTCTCTTTTACTGATTTTGTCTGTGTAAATCCTGAACCCTAACTTTTTTCCTTCAGCAGTGTCCTTCATTCACTATATGTGGTGTCATTAGCGGGAGTACAAGAAGTATACACAGTGCTAGGTTATACTTTCTGTAACCTTCGGCAAAAGTATTCTTCTATATTATGATTCCCATGTACATTGTTTTTAACGTTTGTGATTGGATTTCTTTGAACCACATTACAGTGTATATACCCAGAATCTGTGAGAGTTATTATAGTTTTAGTCTATTTTAAATAACGTGTGTCTGTTTTTCCATTAACAACAATAGCTCTGTGCAGTGGTGTTTATTCGGTAGAGTGCAATGAGAAGCATAAGAGGAAGAGAATAATCATAGCTTTGTTCCTTTTCGGATTGAACTTGACAATCGTTTTGTAACACTTCTACACCACTATCTTATGTATATATATGCGTAACAGATATTTTTTCATCCTACAGTTTAAACTCCACTCAGTCTTTTGCTTTGTTTCATCATCAGTTATAATAAACTATATAATATATTTACAATTCAAATATGTTGCCCCACAACTAGGCTACTATTTGGTTACCTAGTCCATGTCTGAGACGTAATCACGGATCAGATACAATATGTAGAAATCCATGTGAGGACATGAACTCTCATTGAAATTGTTGTCTGATGTCAAGGGTTTTGTTTTAGTTCATATTATACTTTCAGACTTTGTATCTTTCAACACACAATCTTGTGTTGGTAGCATAAAGATGATTTGAACAAGCGATCTGTACAGAAATACCATTACAATAACACAATTTTAAGAATAGCGTTGTCTTTGATTACATTATAATAGTCTCATTAGCTCATTCTTGGAATATTTACAAGTTATATCCTCAAAGATGCAATCTTCAATCTTAGTAAGTCTTCCATTCTCATTGAGCATATGACATCACAGCAATATCCTCCTTGTGATTTCACTAGTTTTACATAATTTGAAAGTGTGATATTTACCTCCAGGAAATTTCCCAAACAAAATGTATTAAAACTATCTTTCAATCATTTAAAAAAAATCAAAAATGTGATATTTATATATACCCAATCACACCCAATAACAATTCTATAATTATTTATATCAGTACATTATGTTTTATGACTACTTTATACATCATGTTTTTTGTATTGTACTCTTGTAGTTGTATTAGATGATGATTTTTGAAGTATATAATTTTTTAATAATAATAATTAACACTTTTCGTATTATCATCCATGTTTGAAATGAAATATCTAGAATAAAATAGTAATAGGTTTTTGTATTATGTTAAAAATGATATATTGTAATATTACATACTATATTACATATAGTATCATGCTTTTACATGTTACTATATGTAAATATGAGATACTCATTTTTTAAAAATCAAATAAAATGTAAATCAAAGATTATTTCAGCTAAAATTCTACAAAATATATGATGTAGACTACACAAAAAAGAGTTCAATCCATTCAGCTTTGTAAGGACATGTGATATGATAAAAGTCATAATAGAGTACTACATGATTAAGTTGAATCTGTATATAAAAACTTGAAAATATAATAGCAACATATGGATGTGTACTTTCAGTTTTTTAAATTATTCCTAATAATGATTATAGATTAAATATATCTAAATTACTGAGAATTTTATTATTATATTTATTAAATAAACATATTAGAAAAATAAGGAATTAATATATAATTTAGTATCATCTGAATCTCAATATTAAATAAAAAATCAATAATTATATACTATATCAATAATATATATCGGCGTAAAATTTTGTTTCATATCTTTAAATATGTTAGTATTAGTTCTTCAAATAATTACTAAATGAAATTTGATTATTCATTTATATTTATTCAACTATTTGACTTGTTATCACATAAGAATAGGTTTTTTGATTCAATAAAGATGAAATTGTGATCCATCTTAAAAATTGTTAAAATTTTCTATTATAACTTGGATATTATAAAAAATAAATTATTTTGATGTGACACTATTTCAATATTGTTAAGATTGATATATCTTGTGATTAATGATTTAATATTAATATAGTACCAATTATATCAAAATTGATTTAAACACAAACATAAATGAGAATCTGTGTACACATCGAGATCATTAAAGTAAATTAAATTACCCTTAAAAAATCACAGCATCATTTTGATCACAATAGCTTATGCTAATTGTTTCAATGAATCATAAATAGATAAACTAAAATTTGTCAAAACTTGAGCTAAATTTGAGAAATTTTTAACACTTATTTAAGTATTGAGTTATTATTTTGATAGTAGAAAATTCATTGCAATCTCCATTTAACTTTATTCTATATATAGAAATTATAAAATATAAATTTTTATTAGGATTCTCAGACAAATTAATCTAATGATGTTATCAATTATTTATGTTTTTAGAATCACTACGTTCATGCATAGAACATTATCCTGATACTTATTTTATTTTTCTTATTATCAGTATCATAAAGTATAATAAATAAATATAAATACCATTTAGCATGCCAAAAAATATTCCATGGAATTTTTTCCTTTGAAAATGAATAAAAGATTCAAAATAATTGTTCAAAAATCTAACAATCTTTATTTTATATATCTTATATTCTATAATCTTAGTGTTTCTTGTATGAAAAACAGAATAAAATTGATGCAAATTTAAGTTTTACTTTTCTTTTTCCCATTTGATTTATATTTATAAATTGGTAGATTATGAATTTTTTTAATTTTTAATATCATTAATAATATTGAGAACAAATAATTTTGAATTTGAAATTTAATACATATGGCAGAGTCATCATGGGGTATAATTTTTGTCTGACAGGGAAAAAGTCACATTTTCGAAAACTATTATTGATCATCTTCAATAAAAATAAATTTCAAGAAAAAATTGCATTATGAAAAAAATAGGAAATTCATTGCATTACGTTGAAATATTCTTATTTAATAATCAATTAATAAAATTTGAAGATGAATGATGCGAAAGTTTGATAGATATTTCTTGATTTTCTTATAATTATAATTTTATTTTTATCAATAGATTAAGCAGAAAAAATCAATAACGATATTCAAACATTATTTTGTACATATTCTACTCCGCGAGAAAAATCAAATAGATATTTACCAACAAGAGGATGTGATTCATCTCATGGAGACTCAATTCACATGATACAACAAGCTTCATTCAAAAATTCATAGTTTTGTGTTGTAAGAATATTTGAGCATATGTTTTTTTATAATCCAATGTAGTTTTTACAACTTTTATAACAATTACAACTTTAGTTTTTTACAATCATAGGTCAAAGTAATCGGAATTACAAACGAATTATATCAATGAACTAACTATTTGATTCACGGCTTAAAATTTGAAATATTTACTTGATGTGACCCTATCAAAACAAAAATTGCTTGATGTGACCCATCAAGTTTCAATTTACCCGATGGAACCCCACCGAAGGTACATGTCACACTGTTCTAATATGAACATAATGTTTCACGCTATAATGTTTGCGTGAGTCTCACTTCATGTTACGTCGGGCAGGTGATACTTCGTTTCGCCCTTCCCAACCTCGGACTGGCTCTGCTGAATATCATCTGTAGAGCACATTGACAATTAATTGACTCCAGATCGGGGCACATGTCGTATACAGGTGCCCCGATGAGCCTCCTCGACGCTACTCGTCTGCTCTGATTCATCTCATGTGCACCGTCCAGAGGGAGTAAAAGTTGCATCACTCTAATAGACAGCTAGCCCCGTTGATGGGTGAATCCGACACAGGTGATTCTGAACACCAATACTTCTCGTATATACGAGGCTCTCTGCTCCTATTTCGTTAAGGGAAACATACAGATCAGATTGCACTCCTCTCGAACATCGTAGATTTTTGCAATTCAGCCCTTAGTCAAGAAGAACTCGGAGTCAGCCTTCGATCACCGTGATCCAGCAAGCAAAAAACTGAACCTTCATACTCCTGACTCCAGAAGCGGGCCGAGCACAAGAATATATCCGTACTAGAACATCTATTAGAACTCACCGACGGCTGGTTTCCATCATATAAATTGAAACTTGATGGGTACCATCAAGTTTACATTAAGACATATGTAATTTGATTTCCAGTTTA